AATGCTGGAGAGGGTGTAGAGAAAAGGGAACCCTCTTGAACTGTTGGTGAGAATGTAAATTGATACAGCCACCATGGAGAACAGTAAGGAGCTTCCTTAAGAAACTAAAAACAGAACTACCACATGACCCAGCAATCCCCCTACTGGGCATATACCCTGAGAAAACCATAATTCAAAATGACACATGTACCCCAATGTTCACTGCAGCACTATTTACAACAGCCAAGACATGAAAACAACCTAAATGGCCAATGACAGATGAGTGGATAAAGAAGATGTGGTACATATATACAATGGAATATTACTCAACCATAAAAAGGAACAAAATTGGGTCATTTGTAGAGATGTGGATGGACCTAGAGTCTGTCATACAGAGTGAAGTAAGTCAGAGAAAAACAAATATCGTATATTAACGCATAAATGTGGAATATAGAAAAATGCTACAGATGAACCTATTTCTGGGCAGGAATAGAGATGCAGACGTAGAGAACGGACATGTGGATGTGGCGGGGGTGGGGGGGGAGGGTGGGATGAACTGGGAGATTAGGACTGACATATATACACTACAATGTGTAAAACAGATAGCTAGTGGGAACCTGATGTATAGCACAGGGAACTAAGCTTGGTGCTCTGTGATGACCTAGACGGGTGGGATGGGGAGGTGGGGGGTGGGAGGGAGGTCCAAGAGGGAGGGAATATATGTGTACATATAGTTGATTCACTTCGTTGTACAGCAGAAACTAACACAACATTGTAAAGCAATTATACTCCAATTTAAAAAATAAAAGAGGGGACTCACTACAGATCCTATGGACATTAAAAAGGTAATAAAGGAATAATATGAACAACTCAATGCCCACATATTTGAAAACCTAGATGAAATGGACCAATTCCTTGAAACATACACTTTACCAAAACTCATACAAGGAACAATCTGAAAAGGCCTGTACTTATTAAAGAAATTGAACTAGTAATTAATAACCTTCCAAAACAGAAAGCATCAGGCTGATACAGGTGCACTAGTGAGTTCTACCACACACTGAAGGGAAAAATTAAACCAATTCTCTACAATCTTTTTCAGAGGACAGAAGCAGAGGGAATACTACCTAACTCATTCTATGAGGCTAACATTACTGTGATATCAAAACCAGACAGACATTACAAGAACAGAAAACTACAGATCAATATCTCTCATGAGCCGAGATGCAAAAAACCTCAACAGAATATTAGTAAATTGAATCCAACAATGTATAAAATGTATTATAAACCACAACCAACTGGAATATATCCCAGGTATGCAACACTAGCTCAACACACAAAAATCAATTAATGTAATCCACCCATCAACAGGCTGAGAAAAAAAATTGCATGATCTTATCGATAAATGCAGGAAAAGCATTTGGCAAATCCCAGCACCCATTCAGAATAAAAATTCTCAGTAAACTGAAAATAGAGGGGAACTTCCTCAACGAAATAAAATCTACAAAAAACCCTATAGCTAACATAATATTTAGTGGTGAGAAATGCCAAGCTTTCCCACTGAGATCAGGTACAAGGCAAGAATGTCCTCTCTCACCACTCCTTACCAATACTGTCGGACTTCCCTGGTAGCGCAGTGGTTGAGAATCCACCTGCCAGTGCAGGGGACATGGGTTCGAGCCCTGGTCCAGGAAGATCCCACATGCCGTGGAGCAACAAAGCCCATGCGCCACAACTACTGAGCCTGCACTCTACAGCCCACGAAGCACAACTACTGAGACCACATTCCACAACTACTGAAGCCCGTGCGCCTAGAGCCCGTGCTCCACAACAAGAGAAGCCACCGCAATGAGAAGCCCGCATATCACAAGGAAGAGTAACCCCCTCTCGCCGCGACTAGAGAAAGCCCGCGCGCAGCAACGAAGACCCAACACAGCCAAAAATTAATTAATTAACTAACAACAACAAAAAAATTGCACTGTGCTGAAAGTTCTAGCTAATGCAATAATAGAAGAAAAGGAAATAAATGGTATAAAGATTGGGAAGAAAGAAATAAAACTGTATTTGTTCACAAATGACATGATAGTCTATTTAGAAAATTCTAAAGAATGGATAAAAATATTCCTGGAAGTAATAAGTGATTATAGCAAGGTTGTAGGATACCGGGTTAATATACAAAAGTCAACTGATTTCCTATATACCAGCAAGAAACAAGTGAAATTTGAAATTTAAAATACAACCCATTTAAATTACAAACCAAAAAAAAAAATACTTTGGCATAAATCTAAGAAAATATTTATAAGATTTATATGAGGAAAACTACAAAACTCTGATGATAGAAATCAAAGAACTAAATAAATGGAGAGATTATCCATGTTCTTTGACAAGACATATTGTCAAGATGTCAGTTCTTTCCAACTTAATCTATAGATTCAAAGCAATCCCAATCAAAATCCCAGCAAGTTATTTTGCAGATATTGACAAACTGATTCTACAGTTTATACAGGGAGGCAAAAGACACAGAAGAACTAACACAATATTTAAGGAGAAGAACAAAGTTACAGGACTGACTACCCAATGTCAAAACTTACTTTAAAGCCATAATAAGCAAAACAGTGTGATACTGACAAAAGAAACAATTCAACTGTCCATCAACATAGCACATTCATACAGAAGAAAACACATGATGAAGTAAAGCTGTACACATCAACATGAATGAATTTTAAAACATAAAGATATAAAAATGAGCAAAATAAAATCGCAGAATATAAAAATGGCACATTATATGTCAATATAAAAAACAGGACAAAATAAGCAAAATACTTTTTAAATATACATTCACAGGTGGTAAAACTACAAATAAATGCAAGGAGTGATTATCACAGAATTCAGCATAATGGAACTTCCTTGACAGTCCAGTGGTTAAGAATCAGCCTTCCAATGCAGGGAATGCGGGTTCGATCCTTGGTCAGGGAACGAAGATCCCACATGCTGCGGGGCTACTAAGCCCGCGTGCTCTAGAGTCCACGCACCGCAACTACAGAGAAGCCCACACACTGCAACGAAAGATCCCGTGTGCCACAACTAAGACCCCACACAGCCAAATAAATAAATAAATAAGAATTCACATAATGACTGTTATCTGGAAGGAGGGCCTTAAGAGGTACTATAAATTTCTATTGACCTGGATGGCAAGTACATGGATGGGTGCTTGAATTACTATTATTTTTTCAACTATACAAATACTTCATATGTGGGGACTTCCCTGGTGGCACAGTGATTAAGAATCCGCCTGCCAATACAGGGGACACGGGTTCGATCCCTGGTCTGGGAAGACCCCACGTGCCACGGAGCAACTAAGCCCACGTGCCACAACTACTGAGCCTGCACTCTAGAGCCCACTTGCCACAACTACTGAAGCCCGTGTGCCTAGAGCCAGTGCTCCACAACAAGAGAACCCACTGCAATGAGAAGCCCGTGCACTACAACAAAGAGTAGCCCCTGCTCGCTGCAACTAGAGAAAGCCCACACCCACAGCAACGCAGACCCAGTGCAGCCAAAAATAAATAATAAATTTTTTAAAAAATAAATTGATTAATAAAAAATACTTCACATGTACTTCTTTGTATGTATAATGTATTTAGTAATTTTTAAAAACTTAAACCCCTCCAGATTGGCATAATGCCAACTTTACAGATAAGGAAGGAAAATTACATAAATTGTCCAAAGTTAATACCATAGCTATAAGTTGCTGAATTGAAACTTGAAATCATGTTTGCCAAATTTCAAATGCTATGCTCTTTCCTCTATATTACATAACTTCTGCTCTATCTACTGGATACTAATACTTATACAACTACTAAGTACTGGATTTCTGTGACTTAGGTGAGAAAAACACCATTAATCTTTGCTAATAGGGCTTCCCTGGTAGTGCAGTGGTTGAGAGTCCGCCTGCCGATGCAGGGGACATGGGTTCGTGCCCCAGTCCGGGAGGGTCCCACATGCCATGGAGCGGCTGGGCCCGTGAGCCATGGCCGCTGAGCCTGCGCGTCCAGAGCCTATGCTCCGCGGCAGGAGAGGCCACAGCAGTGAGAGGCCCGCGTACCGCAAAAAAAAAAAAAAATCTTTGCTAATAAAAAATATGCAAATATAAGCTAATGACCAATTGACAACAGAACCGGTGCTATTATCTTCCAGTGTTAATGATGTTCCTCCTGTAACAATTTTTCACACTCGCGGATACCTGGTCATAATTAAAGGTTTAGCTTTTCTCAAGCTAGCTAACCTGCATGAGAATCAAACCAATTAAATGATGCTACATTTCATTAGCATCTAGCACTAAAAAAATGGTCTACTGATGCCAAGATTTTCAGTTTCTTCTCTTATACATAAGCCCTGCTAAAATGAAGAGCAGAGAACTTAACCTAAGGAATCCTGGAGTTCAAATCCTGAAGCTTCCACTTAAGAACTACTTTGACCTTGAGCAAATTATCAGTACTTTACCTCTTTGAGCCTGTTTTCTATCCCACAAAATTTTTGCCAGAAATAAATGAGATAATGCAGTATAAAAATTTTAGGTCACTGCACTGTATTTCATAGATGTGCAACAAATGCTCATTTCCTTCCTTTATTCTAGGAATGGGAAAGAAAAAACAAATTGAGAAGCAAAAAGATAGCCAGAAAAATAAAGTAGAAGAATCTTTAAGAACAGTTTCTCAGGCAAAAATAAGAACAATTTAGTGGTAATAAAGATTTCCCTCCATTAGCAGCAGTAATAAATATAAACAAAATTCAGCTCTCAAGATTCTATTTCCTGTATAGTCCTTTGATGAAGATGAGAACTTTACAGTTATTAAAAGGTAGCATTCCCTCAGAGTTCCTATAAAGGATTAAGATTAAATTACATTAAATTACAGAGTTTCTGATCTGCTATTTATTTTACTATGTTGAACCAGTTTTTCAAATTATAAAACAACTCAGCAATATATCATGGTACAGGAAATGTAAACCAAATCTTTTACCTTTTGGATTCAGGAGGCTGTCTCTTCTTTATCATTTCACGGAGTCTTGCAGCTGACTGCAAAATACACCAAACATACACACGTAAAAAAGCACTATCTTATAACTACATAGCTTACCTTCTAAAATATTAGGTATCTGCTACTGTTTCCACACTAAACCAAGATCTATATAGCAACTAAAGAACCGTGAGATATACCTGTTCTTCTAGTAGACATGAGGCAAATACACTATCAATAATAAAGACAAGTATATAATACTATCTAATGTACTGACATTCTGATACCTTGGACCAAGTTGCTAACAAGTTTACATCATTAAACATTAAACATTTATCAAATATACTACAAATTTAAAAGTTTAAATTCTACTACAGGCAATCCTACTTTGGTGTTTTCCAGAAAAGTTGCAGGTTATACTTCCACAAATCAAATCAGAATTTCTGTTAACTAAAATCAAAATCAGGGATACTTTTGTCTAAATTATGAATTTTCAACTGTTAGTGACTCAACAATTTAGTCCCTTATATTAACTCACCCTCCCTCCCCTCAAGATGCAAATACACACTGAATATTTAGGAATCTGGTATTCAGAGAAACCAAATAGTTATTTAATAAAGCCAAGGATTTAATGTATTTTGGGGGAAAACATCACACACCCTCCTAAACAGCTATTCTCTCATACATAGAAATTTTACCCCAGTGTGAAGACCTTCAGTGTAAATTATACCTTTAGTAATAATGATTATAAAACATTAGCATACTTCTGGCCACTTATCCTTAAAGTTTCCTATACAAAGCATATTCCCATATATTCTTTTTTTTTTTTTTTGGCCTTGCCACGCTGCATGAGGGATCTTAGTTCCCTGACCAGGGATTGAACCTGCACCCCCTGCAATGGAAGCTCGGAATCTTAACCATGAGACTTCCAGGAAAGTTCCTCACATCTATTCTTAAAGTTTAAAAAAAAAGCCGTCCTCTCTCTCCTCTACCACACATCCCTTAACCCATCTCTCCCACTTCACCTTTAACCTTTAGTTAAAGCAACCACTTGGAACATACCCTGTTTCTTTGAATCCAAGACAACTATTCATAAGACACCATTATCTTATGTACTACCAAAATGGGGTGAGGGGAAGCTGCCAGTTATAGTTTTAATATGCCAATTTCAAAAAAAATGTCTTGGAATCAATAAAATATGGTAACCTCTTTCTATTAAGTGAAAATCTTGCTCCTAGCTTTACCCTCCCTCATTTGACACTATGAAACCTGATACTATGAGTATTTTATCAACCTACTGGCAAGAGGAATAGTATCTCAGTTTTAATTAGAAACTCCACACAAACCTCAGACAACTGAAGAGAAGCAAAAAAGTTTGCATTTTCTGATATGTTCTTCAGTCTCTTCTTTTCGTATGGTGACAATCCTGAAAAATCATCCTATGAAATTACACCAAAAAGATTATGTTACTTTATATAATCCATAGCAAAAGTGCCTCGCAAAACTAGTTGTTGCATTCTCCACATGTATATTTTCCTTTGAATTGCACCTAGTCTAATTATGTTATCTTACCAAACAGGACATAATCTTTGCTGCATTGAATATTGAGATAAAGAGTCTGAGTTTCGGATAATCACAGAATATATGTATGGCTTCCCAATTAAATAACAAGTGATCTGATGTCAGAAGTCAGGTAGTGTAACCTAATAGCACATTACTTCCTACTGGCCGTTAATTGTACTATTTCTCAAAGTTATCTTTTTATTAAACAAAACAAGAAAAAACTCAATAACAGAAATTTTAAAATTCATTGAAACGGTTAAAGAAATTCAGAAAAGAGAACAAAGAAAGAGAAACACATGGGCAAAAAAGACAACTTTGAACTAGAAAATCTTGGAGGTCCAATATCCAACTAATAGTTGTAGGGGGAAAAAAGGAGCAGAGAAAATGGAGAGAAAATCATTAGAGAAATAATACAAGAAAATTTCTCAAAACTGAAGAAATGAGTTACCAGATTAAAAGGGCCTGACGTGTATGCAACACAATGAATGAAAAAAGACTCAAGCCTAGGCACATCATCACAAAATTTCTCAGTTCCTGAGATGGGTGAGTTAAGAGAAGATCCCAAAAGCTTGCAGAGGGAAAAATAGACCACAAAGAACCAAGAATCAGAATGATACTAACTTCTCAATATTGAGGAAGCTAGAAAACGATGAAAGAATGTGTTATAAATGATAAGGAAAAATTAAATTATTTTCAACTTACAATTCTAAATCCAGTTAAGCCAGCAATCAAATAAAAAGCATAAAGACTTTTTCAGACATGCAAACTATCTTTCATACACCTGTTTTCAGGAAGTTACTATAAGCTGCACTTCATCAAAATGAGATAATAAACCAAGAAAGAGAAAGACAGGATCCAGGCTACAGAAGCTCCAACACAGGACAGATAAAAGATAAAAGAAATTTAAAGGAAAGCAGTAAAAAGAAGGCCAAGAAAGAGTAAAACAGTCCAGAAAGAAGTAGGAAGATGGAGGGCCCCAGAAAATATTTCATGAATAAAATATATATATACACATGAAACCATTAGAATTATGTGATTTACATTGAGAGGAATTTTGCAACTCAGGTAAAGCTTGGACTATACGTAATAAGGATCTGGGAAGGGAAAACATGGGGTGGGGGGAGAAGGGGACAGCACACATGTGTAAACTTCACTTTCCATAGTAAGTCAATAGATAATGTGGGGGAGAAAAGCTAAAATGGCTTAAAGTGCAATTTGTCTGTTGAGCAGCAACCACAAATAGAGAGGTATGTGACAGAAAATTGTTGGCTGTTTTGATTTGTTCCTGTGTATACATGTGTGTACATACGGAATTACCTCTATGTAAGATACATACACACACACACGTGGAATTATATGATGTAAACACATATGTACATGCATCAATTTGACCAAAATAAAGATTTTTCTCACACACACATAAAATAACAGTGGCAGCAAAGGTTATTTTGACATTGCCTTTAAAATTGCTTCTCAGAGAAAAACATCACCACCATCATCATCAAGAACTTCCTAAGAATCTATTTCAAAATGGTGCATTTGGAGATCAAAGAAACAAATTTAAATGATTCTACTTACCACAGGAAAAATTAAGAAAATTAACAAAAATCATCAGACATTTTTTTGAGGTATGTGTAATTCAAACTATTCTCACCCATTACGCACCCCTCAAAAACTTGCAACATCAAACACTGAGCAAAGAATATCAGACAAAGTGGGCTCTCAAAGTAAATATATTATAGAAAATAGATATCTTTTTAATTCTATTATCTTGACACTTGAGAAGTTACTGCATCTATAAAACAGGAAAAGAAATGCTATCTTTAAAAAAACGAAAGAAGGAAAATAACTTGAATTTAAAATATGCTTGGGGGCTTCCCTGGTGGCGCAGTGGTTGAGAGTCCGCCTGCCGATGCAGGGGACACGGGTTCGTGTCCCAGTCCAGGAAAATCCCACATGCCGTGGAGCGGCTGGCCCCGTGAGCCATGGCCGCTAAGCCTGTGCATCCGGAGCCTGTGCTCCACAACGGGAGAGGCCACAACAGTGAGAGGCCCGCGTACCGCAAATGCTTCATGCCAAAAATTTACAAACTGTATGAAAACAAATAGAACATTCTCCAAATGACAAAACTGTAGAGATGGAAAACAAATTAGTGGTTGCCAGGGGTTAAGGATGGTGAGAGGGAGGGCAGTGGGCGTAACTATAAAGGGGTAGCCTAACAGAGATCTTTGTAGAGATGGAGTATTTCTGTATCATGATTGTGGTGGTGGCTACATGAATCTATACATGTGATAAAATGATACAGAACTATACACACACCTTATACCAATATGAATTTCCTGGTTTTGATATTGCAATGTAGTTATTTAAGATGTACTCATTGGGGGAGTTCCCTGATGGCCAAGTGGTTAGGACTCTGCACTCTCACTGCCAAGGGCCCGGTTCAATCAAAAAACAAACAAGATGTCCTCAATGGGAAAAACTGGGTGAAGAATACATGAGACCTCTCTGTACTACTTTTGCAAATTGCTATGAATCTGTAATCACTTTGAAATAAAATTTTTTAAAAATATACATTTCTCAGCTAACATCATACTTAATGGTGAAAAACTGAAAGGTTTTCCCCTAAACTTCAGAACAAGATAAATATGTCTGCTCTCGCCACTTCTGTTAAACATTGTACTGGAAGTTCTAGCAAGGACAATTAGACAAAAAAGGAAATAAAAGACATCCAGATTGGAAAGGAAGAAATATAACTATCTTTATTGCCAATGACATAATCTTATACGTAGAAAATCCTAAAGAATCCACACAAAAAAATTAGAATAAATGACTTCAGCAAAGCTGTAAGATACAAGATCAACATACAAAAATAAGTTGTATTTCTATAATTATCAATGAACAGTCAGAAAATGAAATTAAGAAAACAATACCATTCATAATAGCATCAAAAAGAAAAATATACTTTGACACAAATTTAACCAAAGAAGTGCAAGGCTTGTACACAGAAAATTACAAAATATTGAAGGAAATTAAAGAAGATCTAAGTAAATGGAAAGACATCTCATGTTCATAGATTGAAAAACTTAATATTGTTAAAATGGCAATACTTTCCAAATTGACCTACAGATTCAGTGCAATATCTGTCAAAATTCTAAATGTCATTTTTGCAGAAATGGATAAGCTGATCCTAAAATTCATATGGCAATGCAAGGGACACAGAATGGTCAAACAATCTTGAAAAAGAAGAACCAAGTTAAAAGACTCACACTTCCTGATTTCAAAACTTAACTACAAAGCTACAGTAGTTAAAACAGTGTGGAACTGGCATAAGGATAGGCAGATAGATCAACTAAATAAAACTGAGTCTAGAAATGAACCTATATACCTATGGTGAATTTGTTTTCAATAAGGAAGTCCAGACCATTCAACGTGAAAGAAGAGTCTTGACAACAAATGGTTCTAGGACAAAAAGATATCCATATGCAAAAGTATGAATTTGGACCCCATCTCATATCATATACAAAAATTAACTCAAAATAGATCAAAGACCTAAATTTAACAGCTAAAGCTATAAAATTCTGAGAAGGAAATATAGGTGTAAGTCTTCATAACCCTGGCGTAGGCAATGGTTTCTTAGATATGACACCAAAGCACCAGCAACAAAAGAAAAAATAAACTGACCTCGAATTAAAATTTTTAAATGAAATTTAAATTTAAAACATTTGTATGTCAAAGGACATTATCAAGAAAGTGAAAAGAAAGTCCCAGAATGAGAGAAAATATTTGCAAATAATATATCTAATAAGGACCTAGTGTCCAGAATACATAAAGGACTCTTACAATTCAACAAGAAAAAGACAACTTAGGGGCTTCCCTGGTGACGCAGTGGTTGAGAGTCCGCCTGCCGATGCAGGGGACACGGGTTTGTGCCCTGGTCCGGGAAGATCCCACATGCCGTGAAGCGGCTGGGCCCGTAAGCCATGGCCGCTGAGCCTGCGCGTCCAGAGCCTGTGCTCCACAACGGGAGAGGCCACAACAGTGAGGGGCCCACATACGGCAAAAAAAAAAAGGACAACTTAGAGGACACCTTCAAGATGGCGGAGGAGTAAGACATGGAGATCACCTTCCTCCCCACAAATACATCAGAAATACATCTACATGTGGAACAACTCCTACAGAACACCTACTGAACGCTGCCAGAAGACCTCAGACTTCCCAAAAGGCAAGAAACTCCCCACGTACCTGGGTATGGCAACAGAAAAAAGAAAAACAGAGACAAAAGAATAGGGACAGGGCCTGCACCTCTGGGAGGGAGCTGTGAAGGAGGAAAAGTTTCCACACACTAGGAAGGGCAAAGCGGAGAGATTTCCGCACAGAGGATTGGTGCCGACCAGCACTCACCAGTCTGAGAGGATTCTCTGCTCACCTGTTGGGGTGGGTGGGGACTGGGAGCTGAGGCTCAGGCTTCGGAGGTCAGATCCCAGGGAGAGGACTGGAGTTGGCCGTGTGAACACAGCCTGAAGGGGGATAATGCGCCACAACTAGCCGGGAGGGAGTCCAGGAAAAAGTCTGGACCTGCCTAGAGGCAAGAGACCACTGTTTTGGGGTACGAGGAGAGGGGATTCAGAACACCACTTAAACAAGCTCCAGAGACGGGCGCAAGCCACACCTTTCAGCGTGGTCACCAGAGATGGGCATGAAACACTAAGACTGCTGCCGCAGCCACCAAGAAGCCTGTGTGCAAGCACAGGTCACTATCCACACCTTCCCTCCCGGGAGCCTGTGCAGCCCGCCACTGCCAGGGTCCCGTGATGCAGGGACAACTTCCCAGGAGAACACACAGCACACCTCATGCTGTTGCAATGACATGCTG